GGGGGTATCTGCGTTCCACGAAGCCTGTCTTTCCTTTACATTAACATTTTTCTTTTTGTTTTTAGTATGCAAAATTTTCCACCATCTGCTTTGCCTTGGCACAATGTTTGCTGAAAATATCTCTCTTCCTCTCTAGTTCCCATCATTTCTGGGGGCTTCGGGAGCTTCCAGACAGCAGCAGCAGCTCACCGGTGCCTCCCAAGTTCGCAAGCTGCCAGCTGTCCTGTGCGAGGCAGGAAGATGCCGGGTAGTCCAAAGGTCACATCTCCCCCCACCCCAAGACAGAGAGGGGCATTCAGGACTCTCCATTGATGGGGCAGAGCTGGCCTGGATCTTAAAATTCAAATCTGGAGGGCCGGCCTGGCTGGCCTCTTTTAGTGTGTGTGAGGAAGCCCTGAGGGGACCTGGGGCCACAGGGGTGCTGGCAGAGCAGAGTCTGGAAGCACGTCCCCTAAATCCCCGTGGACAGCTGTGAGGGCAGTGGCCACAACTGCCCACCCTTTGGACCATCCCAGGCCAGGCTCTCCACAGGACAGCAGCTGCCACACGGCAATAAAGAAAGACTTCCCAAAAGGGAAGACTTTCCCCTCCACCTTCATGTACCAAAACTCTGAGTTTCCATGGTGACAGTCAAATTGCAAATCCATCCAAGAGTGAGCCAGAGGAGGAAGAAAAAAAAGCTGGCCTATCCCCAGAGAAGTAAGCGTGGCCGATACTGGGGCCATCCTCTCCTGAAGCTGAGGGCTGAGCAGAGTGGGGCAGCCCTTCTGGGGCATGATGGGAAAGTCTCTGGGACACCAGGTTCCCAGGCGTGGGGTCTAAGGGTTCGGGCCGTGTTGGAGAGGGGTCCCCCTCTTCCTCCTTGCTCATGGCGGAGCCCAGCTGAATCCGTTTAGTGACCCTCCTCCTCGGAAGGCTATTGGGACAGCCTTCTCCCTGGTGTTTTCCCATCTTCAATCTGAAAAATCGGGCGTGGGCAGAATACAAGCGCTCATCACCGAGCCATGCTAGACTCAGCCTTTTGGGAATTAGAGGGGAACATCAGCCTTCAGACACACTGAGTGTTTTGTTGAGGATGGAAGAGCAAGGGCCAAAAGATTTATGAGCCTAAAAGCTTGTTAATAGACCTGGAAGATTGATGATCCCAGCTGCTATTCAGGGAGAAAGGTGGCAACAGCAATCGAATGGCAAATTAACCAAGGTTTGGGCTTTATGGTGACATTTGGAGGGGGAGGAGGAGGAGGAAGAACTTCCCTTGCTGCTGGAGGAAGCTCGGCATATCTGGGTAAACGGTGCTCACACTGGGCCAGGGCCAGGGATGTTCTCAACGGTGTTTCTCTCAGTGAGTGCCGAGGACAGGCCCGAGCAGCACCCATTCCTCGGGCTTGCCTCTGCAGAGGGGCTTATTACAGCAGATCAGAAATGGGACTTGGGTTTGTGCCACAAGGTCCTCTAAGCTGGGGACTAATGCAGCCTGAAATGCCAGACATGGTGAGCAGAGATGCTTAAGCCAAGGGAGATATGTCCGGGAGTGGATCCTCCCTGTCAGTCAGCTCTCGCTGTGCTCGTGACGCCTTTGTGAGTGCAGCTGTCAGCTGGGGCTCCTCTGTGGGAGGGCTGTGACACTGGGGTCTGTCAAAGGAGACAGCAGACCAAACAGCTCGAACAGTGGAGGGGGGTTCGTCTTCTAAGCCATGTGTAACATGGGCCCCCACAAGGGAACCAGGCAAGAGGGTACCTGGCCGACGCCCCCTGGGTGACTTTCTGGACAGGACACTCCACTCACAACCAAACTGTTCTCCCAGTGAGCATAGCACAGTCCTCTGGCACTACTCCCAGATACCAGTAGTCCCCACCACCGCTGTGGCAATGAATGACAGTGACAGATAGGGAGAAGGTGAAGAAATGGGCTCATACAGCTTGCCCCATGCATAAACTGAGTCCAGGGGCGTCTTTTCCCATCATCTCCATTTGAGTTCTCAGTATTTGGGAGGCTTTGGCATCCAGCCATTGGCACCAAGGATCTGGGCATTCCTCTAAATCATGGAACCTTGGCCCTGCCCCCCAATTACATAGATCCTGCATACCAAGAATAGGGAAGAAACTAATGTTCCAGCTCAAGAAGAATGAATCGATTATTTCTGCCAGAGAGATGGGGAAGCCAGTGTGGAGAGCAGTCACTGTGCTCTCCGCAGGGATTTCCCACTGCTTAGCTCAGGAAGGATGCCCCTCGCCCCTACTGCTGGAGAGGGGGAGCCAGAGGCCTCCCTGGTTCTCTTTGCAGGTGCCCTAAGGGAGGTAGAGGGAACTGCTGGCTGCCTCCTGCCCACACCCTGTCTGGCGACCCATGGGGTTGGTATTTAGTCAGTGAGTGAGTCAAAGATACATAAATGCTTGTAAACTCCATGCCCTTGAGGACTAGGCTTAGTGAATTCATGATGAGAGAAATTCAGTCCAGAACCTGAAAAGCAATTGCAAAATAGGTCTTTACTTCCATGTCTCAGCTACTGCGAAGGGGCATGTGTGCCTCAGCCTCTCCCAGACCCTTCTGCTCTAACGCTACCGCACAAAAAACCTGAAGTCTAATGCAGAACTCTTCCTTGAGGGCCTGGGAGGGACAGAAACAGCTGAAAAGGCAGATGCTTGAGCTGACAGAGGGGAAAGCTGGGAGCGATGGAGTCACGTCACTCTTGCCCCACCCACGCGGTGGTGCTCTGTAGAGGAGCACGCCAACCTCATTCCTGATGTGACTCAGCCCCTGCCCTGGGGAGCCCGGGGGTCTGCTGGGAGACAGACACAGAGTGCTGTCATAGCAGAAGGCACAGGGCCACTCAGCCAGCCTGGCTGGAGCAAGGGGACGGTGGCTTCCCGGAGGACAATAACTCAGCCAGGAGACAGCATGGGCTGGGCAGGGCCCCCCTCCCCGCCCCCCAGTCACCACAGGAGGTGATGACCAGCAATTTGGCAGGAGCTCCAGGGCTTCTGGGGTGGGAGAACAGTATGGGCAGGATGAGGTGGGAGCAGTCGGCACAGGGCAGGTGCTCAGGCTTGATTCGTATGTCTCAGGAACCTTTACAGAGGTAAGCTTGGGTTTGTGTGTTAGCTGGAGCGTCCCCAGCTGCGCAGAGGGAGGGCCCTGGTGGGAGGTGGTCTTAAGGGCGCAGACTAGAGCCGGGGCTTTGAGTCAAGGCGGTGGCCATTCAAGAACCATTTAAGATGTGCTGGACAGGTGGCCGAAAGGAAAATACCCACAAAGTACCTGCTGTGTGCCGGCCACTCTGCATGGAAGCATAGGCTTGAGACTCTGAGCTGAAGTGGTTAGCCTGTGGTGGATTAGACCTGCGACTCCCTGAGCTGAAAGGTGACACAGGTGGGAGGCATGAAGACTTTCCAGAAGGGTCCAGCTCCCGGTAGAAGCCCCATGGCACAGAGCCTGCCATTTCTCCCTCTCTGCGACTTCCGCACCGACCAGGTTCTTCTGCTGGGCTTTTATGCAGTGTGGGTGCTGTTCCCAGGACCCTGCCCTGACCCGCCTGGGTGGGTCAGGTGAAGTCTACTAGCCATCTTCTAGACTGGTTCTCTTTCCAGTCTCATATCCTACCCACTGGAGCCCTATGGTACCGGGGTGTTTGGCAGATTGAGGAAGCTCATGCTCTCGAGGCGTGTGGCAGAAAGCGTTCAGCCGCTCCTAACCTCCCTCCGTGAGAGCACTGTGATTCCTTGGTAAGACACACTGACTCCTACCCCATCCGCTCCCTGAGTCACCGTGAGAACTGGTTACTGTGATCCCCAGCATTTCCGTGCAGTTGTACTTGTTATTCTAATTACATCATTTAATTAAATGTTCCGTAAGTTGATGAAAAGAGTCAGAAAAGACACAGTTATTTCATTAAAACCAAGACTTTGGAAAGTCTCTTTGGAAGAAGCACTTGCTTAAAAAAGCTATTGAATTAGGTGTGGGCAGGACAACTGTAAAAAAAAAAAAATTAAAATTAAAACCCAGAAGAAAGAAATGGAAAAATAGAGAAGTTTGAGCACTCCCCTTCCTTAGCTAGTGTCTTTAAGCTCTGCTAATTTAAAGAAACAGAACCTGGGGATCACAGGCAGTGCAATGTGGATGTAGTTTATACGTGAAAAGCCTTGTGGGCCCAATCTCACACAAGCACCCAAGCCTGACATCAAAAGATTGGCGAATGGATACACATTTCTAAGCTTAAAATGAAAATAGAATGTTTAGCATATGAATATATCCTGTATTATGACTCCCACTGTTGATGAACCAGCCAAATATGGCCCCATTTAGTCCGGAAAAGAAGGTTTCTACCACAGTGGGCGTTCACTGCCAGCACACCCTCTCCTTGGCTCTCCGGGATTCCAGCCCCATCAGCCTGGCTCCCTCTCGGCCCCTCTGGAGGGTCTGCGCTGGGGCCCGTTTTCCTCCAGTGGAGTCAGCTGGTTAGGACACAGGCTGTGAGGCCCCCCTGCCAGGGTTAGGATGCTGCCCTTCCCCCACTATCGGACAAGGCCTCAGTTTCCTCACCTGTAAAATGGGGCAACACTCCTTCCCATCTCACAGGCTTCTGAAGCACCTGAGTTGGTGAGTGTGCAGCCGTGTAAGGGTCGGCAAGGGCTGGAGCCTCCTGAACTGCCCTGCACCTCCACCGAGACCAGGTGAAAACCTCCAAGCGGGGTGCCCGCGCCAAAGGGGACATTCATGGCCAGTGGGAAGGGGTGACATCTGGAGTGACTGCTGAGGGAGGTTGGGCTGCCCAACCTCCCAGTCTCCTAACTCCAGGGTTCGCCTCTTTGATGGCAGTCTCGCCATCAAAGGAGTCTCGCCCCTCCCCAGGCCATGGTTGCCCGCGTCCCAAACACAAGAACAGGCTGAAATTCTCTACTCTGTCCTGACCAGAGGGCCCTGCCCTGGCCCCTCTTTTTGAGATGGCAGCTGGAGGTGGCTGGTAGGGATAACCTCTTGTGCTGGTGTCTGTCTTTTCCAGTTGTTTCCAGTGACAGTGACAGCGACTCAGATCTCAGCTCCTCCAGCCTGGAGATCTTGCCCACCACCAGTGCCAGGGATCTGAAAGGCGACAAACCCTGGAGTGAATCAGGTAAGTGCAGGAAGTACACTGACGCCCCAGGTACAGAGTGCCAAGGCCAGTTGCTGCCTCCTTGGGCCACCACTCCCCAGCAGGTGTCTCTGGAGCTATTCTGTATCAGGGAAGAGAAGTAGGGCTGGGCTGGGACAGCCGGGAGCTACAGTCTTAGCACCACTGACAAGCAAGGTGGAAAGAGGCTCTGGGTGTTAGGGGCAGGGGAGGGCCAGGGCCTACAGCCCCCTGACCCCTGCCTGCACCCTGACCCCTCCCCAGCTTACTTTCAGCATTTCCCATATGAGTTCACCTTGTGCATGATAAGAACTATGGAAATCAGATACCGTGCAACTACAGTGAGATCCCAAATAAACCCCCGGGCTTATTTTTCCTTCTATTTAACACAAATAGGATGATGGCTGATCTGCAAAGGTCCTTCTAATTTAACACCTGCACTCAACCCCTGTAACCCTAAAAGAGAGTTTAACTGGAGCCTTGAGGCTGGTGCAGAGAGTGCCTGGGGACAGCCATTCCTTTTAAACTCTGGAATGGGCCTTCCTGGATAAAGGAGTAACTTCCCCAGCGTTACTCCGGGGGGTTGAACTGGGATATTGGAAAGGTGTTTCAGGGAGAACAATTATCATGCGTAAGAAAGCTTTATAATAAATGCTCCCAACTGGAATGAAACTCCTCAGGGTGCTTTCCTGGGGCCGAGGCGAGATAATCTCCTGGTAGCACTGATGTGGAAGAAATTCCTGCTAGAATTGGCTAGGTCAGAGATGAGAACTGAACTCCTGGGCTCTACCGGTGCCCGTGACAGATATCACTAGGTGATCGCCCTTCCCACAGACCAGCTGCTGCCTCAGAATCCGCCTCAGCGCCACTCCCTAGTGGACTGTACCCAATAAGGAGAATGTAAGCAATGAAAATTGTGCCCTCACTAGATGATCTTAGGCCCCTTTGGGCTGAAGGTTTTTTTTTTTAAGATTTATTTATGCATGCAGAACTGGGGTGCAGGCCAGAGGTGCAGGGGTGGTGAGAGGATTCACCAGAGACAGAGTGGGGAGCAGAACAGGCAGATGTACTGAAATCCACTGCTGAGGGAGCAGCAGGCAGGCCAGGAGAGGTCTGCAGGGCCATGTGGGTCAGCTCCAGGGCCAGGATTGAACTCGCACCTAAGTGGCTGCCGCCAGCTCTACAGTGCTGTGTCCTAACCTGCTGCGCCACTGGGGAGGCCGGGGCTGAAGATTCTATCTTAGGAAAGCAGAAGGAAACGGACGCCCTAGTCTTGGTTTGCAGGACAGACTTCACACGCCCCGCCCCCCCCCCACATATGCGTGTCTACTCTGCCGTTTCTCAGCTGTGACCCAGTGGGTGCAGAAGACAGAAGGTGGGGTGCTGCCTCATGTCTACACTCTCAGCGGGATGAGGATTAACGACCAATTGGGGAGAGGAGTCTTAGAACAGGCAGCAGTTAGCTGGGTTACCTGAGACGCGCACCCCTCCTCCCTACACATGCCTCAGTCTCTGTGGGCAGGGTGGATCCTCATCACTGCCGGAGGTCAAGTCCTTGACCGAAGGGACCTGAGGGCCCATTCAGTTGACCTTATATGTCGGGGCCTGGTTAGCAGTGGCCTGAGGGTGGCGGCATGCTGGGGTGTCGTGGCATGTCGCAGGTGCAGGTGGGGGTGGTACTCCCAGCCTCAGGCCTGGGCAGACAGTTCCACTCACGCCCATCACAATTCCAAGTGACAGGGTTGGAGATGGGCTCCTTGTCGAGCTGAGATGGTCTCTCAGGATCCAGGGCCGGCGCTGGTTCAGGCTCACACTTGGTCTCTTGCAGGTGGCAACATGGAGTCCCCCAAGATGGGGCTCACCCGCCCAGCCAGCCACCTCTCGGGAAGCCAGAGCAGCCTGGCCAGCGAGACCGGGACAGGAAGAAGCCCTGCAGACCCGCAGGGGGGCACCCCTCTCTGGCAAGACTCCAGGGGTACTGGTGAGTGCACACCCCTCAGCCCACTCACCTTCCTCCTCTCCTGTTGTGCTCCCCCAGACGCTCCTTTCTCACTCAGTCCTGCAAAACTGGAGAGTTTTCAGTTCTCTGTGTTTGCTGAGGGCTGTGCCAGGCACTGTCTCCCAGTCTTCCTGGGCCGCTCCCCATTCGTTATGGGTAAGGTAAGCAAGCGCCCTTGCTGCATGGTCCCGCAAGGACCCCCACCCTGCCGTCTCTTCCATTTTGTTCCCAAAGATCACCACAAGGATTTTCATCAGTGCTCACCCCATAGTGGTCTCTTTTTTCTCTTCCCCAAGGCAAAAGCCACACCTGGGGAAGTCCCCGCTGCTGACCGGGTTTCCAGATGTCCTCTCTGCCTGGTCTGGGTAGAGGCCTGTTTGGTGCATCTGGCAGGCTTTCCACGGAGGAGTTTGGGAGAGAAAGCTGGAACCAGGCCCTTCCCGGCTCCTTCCCGACCGGTCCTGGCCAGCCCTGTGGACGTGTCCTCTGACTCAACAAACCAGTGTTTCGGGGGCTGACAGCTTCCCCCACCAGTGCCTTTCTACATCCCTTCTCTCCTGGACCCCTCTCCTTCACCCCCCCACACTCCCCCCACCATTGCATTCAGCCATCACCTTTATTTATTGTTCTCCCCCTTCAGCCCCCAACCCTGTTTACCCTGTGTCCATTGTAAGTCTGCGTGTTTTATGGGGCAGCCTGGAAGGGCATTCAGGTTTTTCTTGTGGGACCTTCCCACATGCACTGCGATCTCGGAGGGCACCAAGCAAGGCTTGCTCCACGTTTGTATTAATGAGAGCAGAAATGCACCCCTGAGCCGTGCCCTTCAGCGCTGACCTTGGCCCTGCGATTTGAACAGTGATGTCCTCCCTCCGCTGCCTCATTAGGTTTCTTGGGTCCCCAGGATTTGCTCAGTCTAGCCCCTCTCCCCCCCGCCCCCGTGTAGCTGGGGAGGGTCTGATGGACACTGACCACTCCCTGGAGAGCAGCCTGCAGCACAGTCCAGTGAGTGCTCGGGGCTCCCTTCTCCTCAGTAGGTTTTGTTTGGCACGAAAAACGCGTCATTCAAAGTACAGGGAAGTGGTTCTGGGGGTGCTTCCCTGAAGAGAGACCATGCGCTTGTGTGTGGTAGCCACAAGGGTCCTCCCGCCCCTCCGCCCACTCACCAGCCCCACCCCTGACGGGCTTGCATCTCTGCACTCTCTCAGGCCCCCACTTTTTTGAACTTTTTTGCCCTTGTTCCTGGCAGACATAAAAAACTCAGTGTTTCCCTGTGAGAAGTTATGCTTCACAATAAAAACAATAAAGATTAGAATTTGCATTGAGCCAGTGAGTTGAGCAAAAGACCAAAATCACTTATATTTCAGTGCTGCATTAATAAAAAGCAGTTGGAAAAAATGTGGCGCATCAATATGCTGGACGCTTCCCAAGCCACTGTAAAAGGAATGAGCTACATCTATGAGTGTTAAAATTACTCACCAACTAACGTTGAGCAGAAAAAAAAGAGGTCATTTATGTTTAAAGAGCGAGTTCAACCATACATACAAATAACCACGCCGAGTTTTACAAACTTGTATGCACGTATGTAGAAGGATGAGGATTCCTGGTTAGATAACAGCAGACTGAACACATTCAGATTTCCTCTGACCCCCACCCAGAACCCCACCAGAATGACATATGGGAATGGGAATGGCATAAACCGCAAAGACAAAAAGGGCTGGGGCGGAGGTGGCAATGGATGAGCCCTCTGAAAACTTAGGACGATGGAAGAATGAAACTCGCTCAGGGCTCACTCCCCAACTCGCTGAATGTCTACAAGGAAGGAAGAAGGAAATCCACCACGGACAAGCGCGTTTACTGTCCAGACTCCCCCGAACACTTTACTCTCCACTAGGTGTGCCCTAAAGGTAGAAATTCGGGGTGAGGGTGGGTCTTAAAGTAGTATTGGCTGAAAGAAGTTGATAGACCCCCGAAGTCTTTTGTCCCAGCCCGTGTGGCCTGTGAATGCCCGTCCCTACCCTGCCTCTTACAAACAGGCTTATCCCTGATAAAGGCTGAACTAGAAAGATTTTGGATTAGAAACCCAAGCTCAGGCAAAGATGGGTGAGGGGTGGTTAATGAGGAAATCCTCAGCCCCCTCCTCTTATAACAACCTGCAGCGATACCACCCCCCTCCAAAGCAGGACATTGTTGACTTTCTCTAGGAAACTTTCAAAAGATGGACAGATCCTGACGTGGCCCACTCCTCCACGTCCGGGCCATCGCCACGGCTCCAGCCGCAGTGTGCAGACCTTCCTGTCAGCTCTCAGTGGGAGCAGCCAAGGGCACCAGCATTTGACCAAAACCAGCAACCACGTTGTTGGTGACTCCAGGCCACACGAGATCAGAGTCACCTTTTGACGATGTCACTCCCATGAAGCAGAGAAAGAACGTGTTTGTTTGTTTAAAGGAAATATTAGAGCTCTTCAAAATTAAAACTATAACAGCAGAAATTTCAAAATGCGTGAAAGGATGGACAACGAGATGAGAGAAAATCTCCCAGAAAGCAAAATACAAAAATAGTGGTATCAAGAGCAGGAAGGGGAGGGGGGGAATCAAGAAAATTCAACCACCAAATGATCAGATCAGTATACAGAAGGTCCAACTGCCAACTAGCAGGAAACAGAAAATAGAGGGGAGGAAACTAGAACAAATGATACAAGACTATTTCCCAGGACTGAAGGAAATGAGCTTGTGTAGAGAGAGAACCCACCACAAGCCCAGCACAGGGCCACGGGGCTCCACCATTTTCAGACTGGGCCACCAGCGTGGCTGCGGCCGGAGGGCAGTGAATGTGCACATCCCCACCCAGAGCAGGGCAGGACCCACCCGCCAGCCTCCCAAAACAGATCCCACAGGCCTGGGCCGGGGGCAGTGTACGGCTGACAGACTCCCCAGTGACTCCCGCGTGCTGCCAGAGAGCACCACTTCCCTGTGGAAACTGCCCGGCGGGAGGCGGGAGGCGGGCACGGCACCTGCTCTCGTTAGCCCAAAACGGAAACTACCGAAATCCCACGCACAGTGAAGAGTAGATACATAAATTGGGGTGCTGTTGTGTGTCTCTTGATACTGATGCCATCAGAAGGACCGCAAACACCATGGGGGCCCCAGCAGGCCCACCCCCCTCCCCCCGGCAGCCTGGCTGTGCCTTGCCCCTACCGCTGGGTCTGTGTGATATGCCCTGGCGTTCACAGGACGGGAAGTCGCCTAATGGTGCATTCCTCAGAATGTGTCCCCGCTGCTAAACCACGTGGGACTGGAACCAAAGAATGAATTGAATAGTATGTGGTGGAAATGAGTGACCTACCGCACAGTCTAGGTGAGGCCCACCATGCTGAGCAAAGAAACAGATGGCAGAGAAACACATTACGGCTCTCTACACGGAGACTTTTAAAACATGCAGAAATGTTACATATTAACATAGATTTTATGCAGTGAAAGAAGAAAGAAATGCAGAGGAGACATCAACAGACTCAATACATCTTGAGAAGAGGCGTGCTCTGAAGGAGGGGCCTCAACTTCATTAGTAATATTTTACTAAACTCAGTAATGGATAGATCGATGAGCCCTTAATCCCTACAATATCTCACTATAGTGTTTGTGTAAGTCTGCAATATTTCAAAATAAAAAACTTAAGCAACTATACAGTATGCCTTCATGTTTATGAAACTGCAGGTACCAGGAGAAAGAAAAAAATCGTAAAACTGCCAAAGAGAAGAAAAAAATGTTCGTATACCAGAGATCAGGGATTAAAATGGCATTGAAATTCTCAAAGCAGATTTGGAAGCAGAACATAGTGAAGAAATAACTTTTGAATTCCGAAATGAGTTCTGATCTAGATTTATGTCCAGCCAAATCTCAGTGTTGCTAGGGTAAAGATATTTTCAGATATGTGTGTGTGTTTTAGTTTTTAAATTTACCTCCCCTACACGCTCAGGCAGCTACTAGAGGATGTGCTCCAAACAAACAAAGGAGAAAAACCAGGCAAGAGGACACAGAGGTCTGGAGATCCAGCACAGGAAAGAGGCAAAGAAAGTGCTTGGGGTGATGGACAGCCGTGGCTGTGGGCAGACCCCACCACCCTCCTCCAGGCTGGAGCATGAGGACAGAAGAGACAGTCAAGCGTCAGAAGCAGATTTGTGTTGGGGGATTGTGTATTTCGTATTATTCTAGATCATGACGAGTGTGTGTGTACGATTGAAAAATCAGGTGCTCCCTGGTGGCGCAGCGGGTTAAGGCACAGCACTGAGAAGCTAAAGCCACTTC